GGGGGGCTTTTTGAAAAAAAGGGGGGATTTAAAAAGGGGGGCGGGGGGGGGGGGGGGGGGGGGTTTTTTAAAATGCCCGGGACAGGGGGGAAAAGGGGGAGAATTTTCCCGGGGGGGGGGGGGGGGGCCAAAAGGGTCCCCCCCCGGATCCAAAATTTTTCCCCCCCGGTTAAAAAAATTTAAGGAGAAAAAAAACCCCCCCGGGGCCCCCCCCAAAAGGGGGGGGGCCCCGGAAAAAAAAACCCCCCCCTTTGTTTGAATTTTGGGTTTTCCCGGGGGGCCCCTTTTTTGGGGGAAAAAGGGGGGGGTTGGTTTCCTGGCAAAAAAGAAAACCCAAATGGTGGTTAAAAGGGAAACCCAAAATTAAGTTCCCGGGTTTTTTTTGGGGTTTTAATTTGCCAAAAAAATAAAGCCCCCCCCCCCCCCCCCCCCCCCCTCCTTCGTCAATGCCACGCAGGTCCGCGCCCTGCTGCACCACCGGGAACGCCGCTAGGGATGCCGATGAACGTGCCGCCGTCTCACCTGGGCGGCCACATGCTGCACCGGGGACCGCAGCCCATGCCCTTTCCCAGGGGTTACGGGCAAGGGCCGCCAGGAGGACCGAACCATAACAATAACAACCCTCTCCAGCAGCCTCCACGTGGTGGTGGTCCACCGCCGCCACCGCCACCGCGCGGTGCTCCGCCACAGCAGTCGCCCCGCGGGTACGGCGCTTCGCCCACGATGGGGCCATCGCAGCAGGTGAAGAGGGCGTGCCGACAGGGTGGCTTATCTTTCTGTCGTCGTGTGCTTGTGTTTTGTTTTGAAAACTTGAGCGCCAAAACCAGCTGACCAGCACAAATGCCACTGGTTAGTCTTGGGAGATACGTTTTCGAAAGCAACACCGGCCGTGCAAGGGGTCAGTAGTGGGGTCCAAGCTCGGCCTGTCTGCTGTGTGTAGCCTCAAGCGACCGGCCGGGTGGTGCGTATCGCATAGGGTCGGAGCATGGCTTGTAACAGCCGTCAAAGTAATTGCCGGTTCTTGCATGGGCATTTGTGGTGCGGTTTATACGCTTCGGAGATTTGGGTGTTCAATTCGTTTGCGTTCGCCCTTGCTCAATTCGAGTTGGCGAGTCATTCCCTTCCCTCTTTTGAATGCCCGGGGGGGGGTCGTGACCAAATCGTACATGGTGTTCCCCTTCGGAGGACATCTGCCTCTTTGCCTTCTGCGATACCGCTGGCTGTACGGCAGTGCTCCGTGACGTTTATGTCCCAGGGAAATGAGTCGTGGCCGTTATGGCGAGGGGTATGGTCACGCCCCGTGCCGCCTTGCTGAAACACCCGCCGCCGCAGCTGTACCAGGCCTCAACTAACCAGCGCTCAAACTCTCCTTCGCTCGCCCGCCCGCCCGCCCCACACGTGCGCGTCGGCGAAAACAGCCCCAAGGTCCTGGTCAGCAAGCAGAGTGGGCGGCTGCACGCCAACGTGCCGCCGCTATCGCCAGCGGCTGGAGCAACAACGCGCCGAGCGTACCCGCGGCAGCTGGCGGCGGCCCGGGGCCAGTCCCAGGGTTGCGTCAACATCCTCGACAACACCAGCAGCACCAGCAGCACCAGCAAAATCACGGGGGCACCCTGGACCCGCCAGCGGGAGCCCCGGCTCCGTGGGGAGATCCGTGGAGTGCCGGTAATGGTGGGGGCGGCCCTCGTCCGAACGCACAGGAAGGTAGGAATAGCCCGGTGCTATCTCGCGGCGGACTTGCACAGCAGCAGCAGCAGCAGCACCAGAGGCGGCGGCAGCAGCAGCAGCAGCAGCAACAGCGACAGAGACAAGAAACAACCACAGCGTCCACGTCTTCTTCCCCGCAGGCGGCCCCTGCACCAGCACCGGCGGCAGCCTCGGCTTCGCCAGCACCGGCACCACCGGCACCAGCGCCGGCACCGGCAGCGGTATCTCAGCATGCGGCGCCCCCCCGCACGCCTTCCTTAACCCCCTCCTCTCCGGGCTCGCCGGGAGACGCGGACGACATATCTCTCGCGATGCAGAACGGCGAGCTCTCCGCGGCCGCGCGCGTGTTCGTGCCGACGAACATCTCCCCGGCCAAGCCCGCCACAAGCACCGGCGGCGGTACCCCGGTAAGCCGTCCGGGCGCCGCCGCCGCGCGGTCGGCGGGGGCGGGAACGCCGACGGCAGCGGCAAGGGCGGGACAAACGCCTCCGCGACCTCCCGTGACGGCATCGGGCAGCAGCCCCGGGTTGAGACCCTCCCCGGGCAAGGGCGGCGGGGTAGGAGCTGGTCTGGGTCTTCCGCTTGCCGATGTTGCGTTCGGGTCGTCGTGGGGAAGCATGGGCGGCGGCGGGGGCGGGGGCGTAAAGAACGCATCCTCTGACGCGGCCGATGATGGCGGCGGCGGCGGCGGCGGTAGTAACCTGTGGGGGTCGCTCGGGATTGATGTGGGAGGGGCTGGTGTACCTGCTAGCGGCCAGGCTATCTGGGGAAGCAGCTCATTGTTGGATTCCGTGGGCGGCGACGGCGGCGGCGGCGGCGGCGGCAGCGGCGGCGGTGGCGCCATCGCGGGGGACGGGTTGTCCCTTCTCTTGGGGCCGTCGAACGGGTCCACGGTGCAGGCGCCGGCCGATGCCACCTCGTTGCCGCCCTTCTCGTCGTCTTCTCCGTTGGATCTGGCTTCGTGGGGTGTTGGCGGGCGGGGAGGTGCCGGGGCCTTGGGGGGTGATGAGTTCGTGGGCGGGTTGGCTTCTTCGCTTTCTGGGCTGTCGATGGATGACTCCGCTAGCGGGGTGCTTGGAGGAAAGGCCGGGGAGCAACCGCAGCAGCAGCAGCAGCAACAGCAACAGCAACAGCGGAGAGGGGCGTTTGGTTCCGCGAGCAGTCTCAGCAGCTGGGGTTGAGACGTTCTTTCGATTTATTTTTAAAAGAGTGTTCTTGTGTCGATCGCCGAAGGGTGGAAGAAGAAGTTAACGCTGTTGTAAACGCGAATGGAATGTTGCATGTATGAGTCGGTCGCCACACACCTCAGATGGCGACAATCGGGGTGAGTGGGTCGTCGATAGATCTGCTGACCTTCACTGCTCTGGCCTTTCACGTCAGATGCGCCGTGTCCGGTTGTTTGCCCTTGCCGCCTGTGTTTGACGTAAGTTTTCTCACCGTGCGCTGCGCAAAGTAATTTCTACCGCGCTACGTCGTTGTCGTTGTTTGGCCTTGAAAACAGTCGTGCAGCGACGGTTGATGTTGTTGTTGTTGTTGTTGTTGTTATTGTTGTTCTTGTTGTTGCCTTGACGTAAGAAAACCGTTCCGGTCTCTGCCCAGTACTTCTAACGTTGTTTCGGTAGCGCTTCGTTTTTTACTGGAGAAACCGCCAATTCTCGCGCTGCGGTTGGTTGGGTTGTGTGGTTGGGGTTGCTGGTGATTTGTGGTGATGCCCCACAATTTGTGCGTGAACAGTCAAACTACCCAAACTGCACACACTATGACAGGTATCTATTGGACTGGTGGGATTGATTCATGCGCACACATTCGAAGTGTAGGACGAACCGATCCTGAGAACCGACAACCGTGGGCACGCAGGGGACCACTGGTGGATATTATATGCGGCCCGTTCACCTACCACCTGCTGGCATGCACTGACTGGCGGACACTTTGTGGAACCATTTATTTCTCTTTCTAGACCCGCCCTCCTTCCCCGAACCAAGGAACCCTGCCTGCCCTCTAGCGGGCTCTAGCTACGAAGGCCTTGATGATATCCTTCCGTTACATTGCCTGCAGTACAGCAGGAGTCGAAGTCTTGTCATTGGCGTCAACGAAAGAGAGGCAGGCGTCGTCGACGAAGAGATTTTGCCACCACAACAAATAGATGGTACAACAACGATGGATGGACTTTACTTGCGGCGCCGTGTGAGAGGGGAGGGGCTGATGATGTGGATGACGGGCAAACTATAGATTCATGCGGACACATTCGAAGTGTTGTTGGAAGAGCCCATCCTTCCAAGAGTTCCAACCAACCACAGGAGCCCGGGAGACAGCACCTGCCATTCATTTTATGGATACATCCACGGATGTCCCACATTACATACGGCATGAGGGGACGGACCATTTATGGCAGGCAGTGGCACCGCCCAAGTATCAGCGGATGAAACCTATGTTCTGCCTGCCCTCTGTAGCAGGCTAAAGCTACACCTCTACCTTGAGATCCTCCTGCC